AAAGGAGGAGAAGTTGGAACAAAGATATGCAAATACATCATGGGGAGAAGTAGAAGTTGGACATGGACAAAGAAAGAGCAACATTGAGGAATGGAGAAGGATCAAAACTCATGGACAAGACAAGCACACAAGTAGGGGGAGCAAGCTCATGAACTTGATTGGATGCATTTGATATGTGCATATTCATGTGCTTGCTTGCATTTGCATAAGTTTTAAATTTTGATATGCATGCTTGGTGGTGTGTGCTAGTTATAGAACTTGAATGATGATTTGATAACTAGCATGGTAGAATGGTAGCTAGACTTGTGTTTTTACAAGTGGTACTAGAACCTTGCTTATAATGTTGATCTCATGAGGTTTCTAGTGTATTTGTTGCCTGGCTACTCATGGTGCTAAGGATGGTGTTATAAGTGCAACTCTGATTGATATCACGCTTCAAAGGTTATTCTATACACCTTAGCATCACTTAGTAGTGGTAACAATCCCACAATTTTCATATTAATGCATGTGTGCAAGCTTGAAACCAAACCATTTGAGCACACATGTAGCGGGAGTAATCACTACCAAATCAAGTTTTATGGTGCTTATCCAAATCTTGACATAGAGCTTAAATGTTGGATAAGTAGCATCAAATCCAAATCAAGTTAGCAATTTACACTTGTGTGAAGTGCTAGCTTGAAATGAGCTTAATTTCTATATCTTTGTAGAGTTGTCATCAATTACCAAAAAGGGGGAGATTGAAAGGTCCTTGTTTGGTTTTGGTAATTGAGTGGCAACCTAGGTGGACTAATGTGTTTAAATGTGAGATACACAGGTGATTAGTCCATAGGTACACTTGTGTGAGCAACTCATGCCATGACGGTGAAGATAGCTTGAATTTGTTGCAAAGCTCACACATGTGATGAAGGAGCTCATTGCATATGAGACATGACATCGAGTCATGTGACTAAGGTAGAGAAGACCAAGACAAAACTTGGCTTGATGGACCGGTTGCAAGTGTGAAGGGCAAATTGAGTGATGACCTGGCACCGATGGACCGAAGCAACTGTGAAGAGCAAGTGAAGTCAAGATTGATGAACTAATAAGGTCACGTGATGATATGAAGTGGATCATATCATTTGTGATTTGTTGGTGCATGTGTTGCATCAACATTGAAGGAGATGGAATAGAATGCGTAAGGTAAAGGTATAACCTATAGGGCACTTCATTTCACCGGTGTAAGTTGAGTACAGAAGTGCTTGACCAGATTTAGGATAGATAACCGTACTATAAAGAGGGGAAATCTTTTAGTTGCAATGGTTATCTAGTACCACAAAGTGTGAGTCTCCTTTGCATATGCATTGCGCTTAGTGACGTAGTGAGGTGCAAGAGAAAAGCCTTTCAAAATGATTGAGAAATGCTAACTCACACAGTTGACTTGTTAGAACACTTGGTGGAGTTGAGCACATTTGAAAAGGCCTTAAAATGAAGTTTGGTGGGCTGTTTCTGTGTTCCTTGGAATTTCCAAGCTTGTCTCGGAATGTCTGAGAGGGTCAGAATATCCAAAGAAATTTCTGACCAGCCTTCTCTATTTGGTTTACGATTTTCGACTTGGATATTCCAAACGTGCTTGGATATTCTGAACCTAGACGAACGCGCCTAGATATTCTGAACCTGGCGGACGAATGCGCCTGGATATTCTAAACCTGGACTAACACGCCTAGATATTCCGAACCTGGACAAATATGCCTGGATATTTTGAATCTGGACGAACACGCTTGGATATTCTGAGGCAGGACGAACGCGCTTGGATATTCTGAGGTGGGAGCTCCTCAACGGTCGGGAGGACCGTTGGCTGAGGGGATGCTCCAAAATATCCAAGCCAATATCCAACTCATGCTTGGATATTCCAAGGTGGGAGTTGGCTAGGCTGCTGGTTAAAGGGGGCGCCTCCCCCTTTCCCCATTCACTCTTTTGGCTCATTTGCAACATTTGGGGATCCTTTGAGCTAGGGTTCTTCTTCCTCCTCTCTCCTCTCTCTCTCCCATGGTTGGTGCCAAAATTCCTATGAGAGATTAAGTGCCCTATGTGGGCAAGGTAGAGAGATTTAAGATCCACCTCCTCCCTTCTTCTCCCTCTCTAAGCTTAGTGCTAATTTGTGAGAGAGGTTGAGAGACCTAGTGTGTGCATTTTGGGATTTGCATTTTGTGGCACTAGGAAATCTCTGTGATAAGGGATTTCTTGTTACTCTTGGTGATTACCATCACCTAGACGGCTTGGTGGATTGTGGTCTCCGTTGTGAAGCCCGCGTGGTGAATGTGCGGTGCTCCGAAGAGGTGCTTGTGATGGGTATTATGCTCACCCCGTGGGAGATCGCGAAGAGCAACTCTAGTAGAGCGAGACACGAAGGGCGACAAGTGGTCCGGCCAAGTCAAAGTGCTAGAGCTTGTGGTAAGCACTCCACGTGGAAGAGTGTGACTTGCGGGTCACCACTAGCAAGAGGACCAGCGGCAACTTTGGAGCTTGTCTCAACGGAGATTAGCTTGGTGGCAACCAAGTGAACCTTGGGATAAAAATCACCGTGTCAACCTTGTTCATCCTGTTGGTTTGCCATCTCCTTACACAAGCTTGTATTTACTTATTCATATATTGTGTTTGTGTAGTTGCTTATGTAGTTAGTTAGCTTGTGTAGCTTGTTAGTTATCTTCTTGCTTGTGTAGCTTAGAAGTAGCTCCCTTGTGTAGCTAGTTTACTTTGGTAGTAAATTAGTTGCTCTCTTATGTGACTAATTGGCTTGAGTAGTCTTGTTAATCACATTGCTTAGTTTATGCAGCTAAGTAATTTGAGCTCTCTAATTTGGCTTGTGTAGCCTTGTTATTGAGTATTGCTAGTGAGCTTATGAGCTTTGTGTTTTTGCTTACTAGATTGTGTAAAAGCTCACCGGTTGCTTGAAGTACTAGTGGCATATGTTTGTATGACCTTGCTCCTAGAATTGTTTAGGTGTGCTCTAACTAGTCTGGCACCTTAGTTACATAATTAGAATATTTTTAAGGTGCTTGATAACATAGATAGAGGGGTGTAGTCTTGACTAGACCAATAGTTTTAATTTCGTATTTGTTTCGGTAGCCGGCGCGATTAATTTTAGAAAAGACTATTCATCCCCCTCTAGTCCGCCATCTCGACTCTACAGTTGGGTGTGCTTGTGTGATCATATCATATATGTCGTCATTTGTCACCACTTGGATGTTTCATTATTTGTTTTGCATCCTTGTTCTAAGTATATGCCAATTACTATGCATGATATACTACAAAGTAAACAATAATCATCCGAAGCATAACAGAGTGAGGGATTTACACAAAAAAACATTACGGGAAAAAGTTCTGCTAAATTGAATTCTTTCATGCAACCTGATCAAAATATACCCTAAAAGTGTGTGATGGCTTTTATCTTTTCATGCATGCCATTGAAATTATCTAGTGTAATGTACTTATAACCTCTCCATGTATTGGGATTCTCTTGTTTAGTTCTAAACAAATTACCAAACCAACGTAAAACATTGGCTCTGTTAGTTTCACTGGAATTTGGTTTTTGCTAATGCTCATGCTGATTTGTTATGAGAGGAAAACATTGTCTGTTCGCGGAAAAATACTCTACTGCTGAAGTAGTACTGCAGAACAGGACCATTGTTTCTGCGAAAGGCAATGTAAAAGACGATGAGATGCGGTAGCTTTGCTCTTGGGAATTTCATTGAGAACTTTCAAGGCTAGAATGAAATGTATAACAATACGGCTACGGGAAGACATGTGCAAATTATTATATTTACACGTGATTTCAAGGACATAGGAGAAAAATATGAGTCTTTGATATGGAAAGGTGCGAGCACATTCTAGATGGAAAAAAACACAATCTCATAAAAAAGATTACGGCAATAATTTGCTACCATGGCATTGAAAAAGCCAGTTTGTGTGTTCTGATGGTTCCTTTACATTCACACCTCTAATTCCAACTATCTTCTTCGCTTTCTATGTCAACATTCCACAGGTATTATTCCACGTCGTGACATCTCTTTGACACCGTACACGTTGGTGCAATCCTAACCGCTGCCATCTTTATTCATCTTTTCTCGCTCTTCTCAACATCTTTTTTTTTGGTGAAATCTCTTCTCAACATCTTGTGTGCATCTATCAAACATTTGTATTGCATCCCATCCTAAACTCGTCAGGGCAGTCTTCACATGATGAACAATGCACAATCATAACTCAAGGCCCTGTCCGGCCGATAGAATTTTAGCTGAAACTGGCTGAAAACACTGTTCTGCCTGAATTGTTGTGAGAGAAAAACACGGTTCCAGCTAAAAAAAGAAGTCAAACAAGTCGAATATGGGATAAGCCGAACGGGGCCGTATATAAGTACTGCTTAAAAAAAAAAACTCATAAATACTAGATGGATAACACAATCGTGAGTTTCGCCTATGCTATGCATGCAAGTTGCAGCTAGTCTCACAAAATTGTGAGGACAGCTAATCGCCCAACTACTCCATCCAACCCAGCAGCCGTTCCAACTTCTATTCATTATATTCTAGATAGACGCTGTTTCTCCTTAGAAAATTTGTAATACACGAAAAAAAAAACACAGCACAATTCCGTTGACTAATTCGACTCCTCCCTGGCCTTGGTCAGTTGGTCATCTCCGCCGGCTCAACGCGGGGGGCACGACCACCGCCACGACGGCCACCACCCTCCTCTTGTATAGTCAAACCGCTCCCCCTCCTCATCCTCCTTCCTTGTAACCTTCGCAAGAGGAGCAGCAAGGTCCCAGCTTTTTCCCGTGTTCTTCTACTTCTTTCCCCGCCTCGCCTTCGTTCCGCCCGCCACCAAATCTCCCGAGGCAGCGGAGTCCGGGGACGCCGTTCTTTTTCGTTGTGCTTCCTTGGGCTATTGCTGCCGGCGGCCGGCGATTTTGGCGAGGTCCGTTTGGGCGGCAGGTAGGTAGAGGCGGTTTTTTCTTGGCGGCTGGTGGGATGGATAGCCACGCCGCCGGGTCGAGCTCCGGCGGATCCGGGGATGGCGCCGCGCAGCCAAGGAGGAACTCCCGGAAGCCCAAGTGTGAGATCTTCTTCCTGAATATGATCTTGCTGATGTTGTCTCTATTTTTACTTTTTTAGGCTTCAATCAAGGATATATCTCTATGTTTCGTTTCTGTTTTCCTTGGGGTTTAAAACCTCTTCTTTTGGGTATTTTTAGGCTGGCTGTTTGTTAGTTTTGTGCTTGAATTTAAGTTTAATAACCTTGTGAGGTTTGATTTCAAGTAAGTGCTGAAATCCGATGTTCTGTTTGTACTATATTTTTATCTCTTTGGGATAATAATATGGTAGAGAAACTTTGAGTAAATGTTTTTTGCTTTGTTCATACATGATACTCCTATGGATGCTGTGTAGTGTAGTGTTAGAACCAGAGCTGGAGTTTCAAAAGATCAACAAAATACTGCAATTTGTTTAACTGACGATCCTGCTTTTCAGATATTCATTTTCCAAAAGACCAGATATTCATATTAGCTTTGCTGGTTTTCCTTAAAAACACACTAGCTTTGCTGGAATTAAGGGATTTCTAACGTTGTCCTTCTGTTTGCAACCAGATTCCAAGTTTACGCAGCAGGAGCTTCCAGCTTGCAAGCCGATTCTTACTCCAAAATGGGTAAGCTCAATAGTACAAATTTCCCTTGGTGTCATCAGCTTTCCTACATCAAACCCCACAAATGGTTGTGCTTAACTTCTTATGTTACACAGGTTATTTCAGTATTTGTTCTTGTTGGTGTGATTTTTGTCCCAATTGGTATTGTTTCGCTGCGAGCTTCACAACAAGTATGCCCAATATCCTGTCTGCTTGGTTTGAAATATAAGCTCTGTCATTTTGTTTATGTTGGTTGTTTTCTCTGCTGCAGGTTGTCGAGATTGTTGATCGGTATGATGATGCATGTGTCCCTGCTGGTGTGACTGACAAGCTTGCTTACATCCGGAATGATAGTATACCAAAAGCCTGCACAAGGAATCTGACGGTAATGGAATTATCCGCATGTCTTCTTCTAACCTGAAATTTTGGGAATGGAAAAACTATAATAGAAACAGCATTGACTAGTGATAGTGTGTGAGATGTCAGTTACTTTACAAGTATGCATCTTGGCATAAGATCAAATGAATAATTGGCTGAAATATTTGATTACATGGGCTTCAGATTACAAAGGATATGAAACAGCCGATTTTCGTGTATTATCAGCTGGATAACTTTTACCAGAATCATAGGAGGTATGTAATCTTTAGCCAAAGCTCTCTCTCTCTCTCTTATTGTTTTAAACTTTGTCAGTGAGAAGTTTTCTTGCTCTTAAGATGTATTTTTCTGTACTTAACTGAAACATTCATCACATTCAGGTATGTCAAGAGCCGTAATGATGTACAGCTAAGAGATAAAAGTAAGGCGAGTGAGACTGATAATTGTGATCCTGAGGCCAAAACGGTAGATGGAAAGCCAATTGTGCCCTGTGGGCTTATTGCATGGAGCCTGTTCAATGATACATATAACCTCATCCGCAACAATGAAACCTTGAGTGTGGATAAGAAAGACATCTCTTGGAAGAGTGACAGAGACCACAAATTTGGGAGTCATGTCTTCCCAATGAACTTTCAGAAAGGACCTCTTCAAGGTGGAAAAATACTTGATTCAAAAATCCCGGTATGTTCATGAATCTTGCTTTGTATCATCCATTTTTTTTGCATAATGGTGGCCACCTAATAGGGAAATTATGCTTTTAGCATACAGTAGTTATCAAGTTTAAAGATCAAATGACTCCCAATGAATTTTCTCTTAGATTGATTAAGATAAGTTGTTTTGATCATTTTGGATACCTTTGGCCTCCGAAGTCACTAACTCGTTTTTCTTCTGAGCAGTTGAGCAAACAAGAGGACCTTATTGTTTGGATGCGAACTGCAGCACTCCCAACATTCAGAAAGCTGTATGGTAGGATATATGTTGATCTCAAGGAAAACGATGCAATTACAGTCCAATTGGAGAACAACTACAACACCTATAGCTTTAGTGGCAAGAAGAAGTTGGTGCTTTCTACAGCAACCTGGATTGGTGGAAAGAATGATTTTCTGGGCCTTGCATACCTCACTGTTGGTGGAATCTGCTTCTTCTTGGCATTTGCATTCACCTTGTTATACTTGATAAAACCAAGGTTAGTGATTTTCTGGTTCTCATAGATTGCAATTACATCAAGATGAACATGCTATAAGACATATCTGGTTACATCATTTCTTGCTGCGTTGAAGTACTGATATGATTTTCTTCTGGTCACCCACAGGAAAATGGGAGATAACAGCTACTTGTCATGGAACAGAGCCACTTTAGGTCGCTGATATGCTTTGGAAGCTAAATGTTACACAGGCAACACCAAACAGTTCAGATTATGGTCCAAATGTATCTTTGTACCAAATAGAAATTTTATTTGTGATCGTTGGTGTAGAATTTTATGGTCCAGTTTTATCTGAGCCTACCCCAACTTGCTTGGGAGTGAAAGGCTATGTTGGTGGTGGGGGTGGTGTAGAATATATACAAAGTAGGCATGCGTGTACAAGTGACAACTTAGGATCCACTCGTTCACAGATTGTACATTACATTGAAACAAATAGCTTTATTTTCTACAAAATTGTATAATCAGAAGTCAGAAGTGAATGTCAGTTACATGCTTTGTTTTTCCTCATAAAACAACTAAATCTAACCTGCATGACTAAGCTATGAGATGAACTTGGGGCTCTTCAGAAGTGATCAGTCCTCGAAGGCTTGTCAGCCTGCTAACTACTAACTTGACTCTGCTTTTAACTCTTTTATTTTTCATGCCACGCGCAGCAAGTAATTGCTGAGATACTGGCCCTCAGGGTATGCAGGGTCGATGGGGTGATCACAGGCTGCCCCAGCTTGACGTAAGACCGTAACCTTACGGCCAGCCATTGATGCAGCACCCTAAAAGCAGTAGCAAGAGGAAGTTATGAGCATCTATGTGGACAAACCAACACAAAATTGTCAATATGCGAAGAACATAAAAGAGCCATTGCTCTGATTTATTTTAGTCACCGGACACCTTGACTTAATACTTGGAGGGCTGTAACCTTTCTTTTATTTGGTAAGAGAACCTTTTTTTTTTTTACTTTCACAGATGCAAAATAGTTTGACACTTTGACATACTAGAAATAAGTAAACAGGTGGCAAGATGTATGTTGAGTAGTTATGCTATGAGTAAGTTCCAGAACATTGTGATACCTGAATGGTTTTGAGGAACATGCCACTTTGGGTCATAGCTCCAGAACAAGAGCATGTCATGAGTAACCCCCCTGGCTTCACCACTTGCATTGCAAGTGTGTTCAAGCTTCTATACATACCGGATGCACTTTGTAGCACCTGCAAGTACAAGAGGTGTCGATCAACAAAACCAATGAAAAGGGATATTAAGAGAATCAAGATCATTTGGTTTGGTAAGCTCTAAGAATGAAGGCACTGCCATAATTTCATCTGCAAGGGGTACAACATAACCCATTTATCCCATACAATACAACACCTGATTAGATAATATTAGTGTGAGTAAATATGTGCCAGCTGCCTGAAATTAGGACAAAGGATTGGCTGCAGCTCATGGCATACATGCCAAGGGTGGGGGCTTGCTTAAGAATAAGAAAGAGGAATCTTATGGAAATAGCATGGAATAAGGTCTGATCCTATTCATGGGGGTAAATATCCCATTCCAAAAATCAAAACAATCGGGACTTTTCGGGGAAATAAAATAGGGACTTTTTTTTGGATTGGCACGACATAAATGCAGCAAAAAAAAGACTAAGAAAGAGGCAAATTGGAGTAGATTCAGGTGTGAGTCATGAACTAATAATTCATAAACACTAAAAATATAGCATGCTTCAGCGTTCACATGCACAGATAAAACATAGATTCATTTCAAGTCAAACTAGAAGTTAACAAGTAAATCTTCCAGGCCCAGAGGACGCAATTATGGTTACCTTCTTTCGCGGCGCCAACTTTGGAGGGTCAAGGATTACCAAGTCCCACAGCTCATTTTCTGAGATAGCTCCTTTCATGAATGTAGTTGCATCTCCTTTTACAAATGAGATTTTTCCATGGTTTAGCTCATTGAGAACGATATTCTCATTGGCAAGGTCTAGTGCCAATCCTGATGAATCAATGCCTGAAAATGATTACACTGATTGAAATATTTTGTACCGGAAATCCAGCAGAGTATTATAGGAAGGAGACTAACAAAAAAATATATCATAGTGTGAAACTTTCAAACAGACGATGCTATCCCGCCAAAATTTAATTGTAAATAACTTGAAAAGCACTTGAAAGATGTTTATCAGCTTAAAGTATTTTACCAATGACATTATTAGCACCACCCTTAGCTGCGTTAAGAGCAAAGCCACCACTGTAGCAGCAAAGGTCAAGGATCCTTTGATCCTTTGAAAGTAATGATATGAAAGAGCGGTTTTCCCGTTGATCTGCATAAAACCCTGTCTTCTGACCCTCTAATGAGACTAAGTAGACAATGCCATTCTCCATGACCTGAAAACAAAACAATACCATGGGTGATACAACATCGCAGAAACAATATACTGTACAACCTCAAAAGTCAAACTAGCAAAAGGTAACAGTGCACACTTGTCCCCCCCCCCACCCCACCCCAACACGTAGGAGAGCTGTGTATCATTATATTAAAGAAGGAAAAAGGGTAAAGAAACCTGGTTACACCCACACCCACACACCCATTGGATCACAAAATTACATACACGCCTTTTCCTTACAAATACCAACGACCTAGCCACACCGGAACGAGGGCCAACAAGAAGGAGATCCCTCGCGCTCCAGCCATTGCCCAAAGCTGGCCCTCCTCAGCAAGCAGCAAAGCAGTAGCCATATTGGCAGCAAAGCCGTAAGAGACACATTGGTTCCTATGTTTCGCATCAGTCTCATTACCATCTTGCCAGCTCAATGAGTGTGGTAAGGTATTACAACTACAATGAGGGAACTAAACCTAAAACATGAACTATCAAGACCAAATGATACTGAATCATAAACTTGTCTAAGTCAACAGGTCCACCTTAACAGTTGAGCATGGTGAAGCAGGCTCCTTATGCTCTGATATATCCAATCCTTCTTCTTTCAAAATATCTGCCGATGGCCTCCACTTTATATGGCTGATGCCATTAACTTTGCTAACAAGAAATTGTATTTCTTGCCTGTATTTCTCAACCCAAGCAGCAGATGAAGCAATGACAGCAACATCAGCAAAGATGTCCACTATTAGACCAGACAATCTGCAACTCAAAATTAGTGAGAAGAAATTTCAGATGTGTTTCCAAGAAAACTGAGTCAAGATCAATATAAAGCCCTCGTATTCCTAAGAAAATATAGCAAAACTAATACTTTGATGCTGAACAGCACGGTCCTCAAGCAGGAGCACTCAAGGACACCAACAAGGCAGTAACAACATATTCTTTATCTAAAGATTTTAGCGTATGATAGTTATTGCACTATTACTCTACAAAACTAAGAATACATTCTACAAATTATACTTCTTTGGTGACTTGAACAAGGTCCCAACTTCCCATTGTAACTAAATTTAACACACACCTGTCTCCTTCACTGTTGATGAGGCGATAAGCATTTGTGTCAGCAGAAGGGAGACCCAAACTGCGCCGCAAATCAACAGCAGATGAAATCCTTGCTTCAAGCAACCTTTCCATATTTAGTGCGCATGTGGGATCTCTGGAAAGAAAGAAGGTAAGTAATAAGTCAGCTAGAACTGCTAAAATGTAGGTGATTGTAAAAACAGGTACCTATGTCACCTTCTTGCCTCTTCTTCTAGCTGCATCAACCGAACACAAAACATAGACACAGAGTTATAGAGACCCCATCCAATAGGTTTCTCTGTCCCATCAGCTACCAGAACAACATCACCAGATTTCGGAGGAGGTCGACCAATTATCCTATCAACAGCACCGCTGTACACCATTGGGCTTCCATCTCGGAATATTTGGGTCTTCCCCTTCTTTAAAACGACCTTTGCCAAACCTAAACAAGGAAGCGTGTTTAAAGATAGTCTTTACTTCAATTTAAGTAACAACAGACAGCTATTAATCCAATCAAAAAGATGTTTGGTTTTACAGTGCACCAATTTCTGAATGAGATGAGCTCTAGCCGGACGTTGGAGGAGGCTGACCTTTGTAAAATGATTTAGAATAACTTATTGCCAAGTTTTAGGCTGCTGGTATCATTGTTCCTTAATCTTGCGTCAAATAACAGTGATGTGAAATGTATATGCAGCCCAGGAGCACAGCAGTTTAGAGCTAAATGTCTAGAAAAAAAGGACGGATTTGAAGAAATCCCGGTCTCCGGTGATTAAGAGAAGCAATCTTAGCAACGGCAGTTCTCAGTTCTCACATGAGCGAACCTTTTATTGACAAATGCTCTCTATATATGCTGAAGCTACAAACAGGCGCCTCGCCCCTGCACACATAGACCTAGCACCTAGTGGCTGGCGTGACGCAATTTCGCTGCTGCGTTAACACTGCAAGCAACGCACTCTTCCCTTGGGGGCGTTTCAGCAAACAGGAAGACATCACCATGGCCGTTTCCCGTTGCGTTAGCGGGCACACCACGCAATCTTCTTCCTGGAACGCCGCCTTCAATATGGGCGGTCCAACTCCACTCGCCGCCGCGCGCCACTCAATGAGGTGAAGGGGGAAAAACGGAGGCGCCAGCTCTAAGCAACAACACGGGATGAAGATGGAGAGGGGAGCACTGCTCGACAGTATGCGGAGAGATGTGGCATAAGAAAGGGGTGACCTCTGCGCTCGGCGGCGAGCTCTTCCAGGGCGGACGAAGAGGAGGAAGCGGAGGCGACGGTGGAGGCGGCGGAGGCTCGCCTGGCGAGGCGGGCCCTGACGAGCGCAGGCACCGACGCCGGCGCCGTGCCGCCGCAAGCGCGAAGGCGCAGCATCGCCGCGTGCTTGAGTTTTCGCTGCCCAGTGGCTGCAGTCTTGCAGATGGGATATCTGCCCGCCCGACTGGCCCCGCTGCGATTGGTGGGCCCTTTCCTTGGCCCCGCGCGGCGCGCCGCACAGCACCGCGGTCTCTTGAGAATTTGGATGGTTTTCCAATTCGCAGCTCTCTTTTTTACCCTCTATTTCTTTGTAAAGTTGAAGTTATGAACAAACTTTAATCACAGTTTAATAAAGCTGAAAATTTGAATTTTCAAAGTTTTATGTCCACCTTTTTTATTTTGTGAAACAACCATTATAACTCTTTTTTTTTCTTTGAATTCTCCAGGATGCTGCAAAATGGACTGAATAGAACTGAAGAAAGATCAACGAATTGGAACTGGAAAATTTTGGTAGATCGAGATTTTAGCGAAGCACAAAGTTTCTAGCGAAAATTTTTTGGTCCATCTGGGATATATACGATAATTTACGAAATTTGTCACAGAAACTCCGCCCGAAATCAACGGAGAATGTCATGTTTCCTCGATATATTTTGTTGATAAGGTCCCTCAGTTCCACAATTGAGGCAAGGGTAGCAGGCACAAGTAGGCAAGATCGTAGCCCAATGTTGCATTGTTTGCTCTTGCCCATTCTAGAGCCTGAAACTCTGAATCTCTGAATGAAGTGCTCATCTCGATAACACGGCGAGTCGGCGACGTTGTGCGTTCGATCCGCGGGAATGGCGATCGATCCATGTCAGGCACTTAGGGAAGTGAGGTCGGACGTCCAGATGCTCCATTTGTCTCTTCCCTGTCAGGAGTTCAGGACTCGGTCATGTCGTGTCACCTGGCCGTGACAGGCTGATCCGCGGCTTCCTCCCTGTGACTGTGACCCCCGGGGAGCCACTCCTGAGCGGCGACGAGGTCCGGGAGCACGAGCGCGCCGGACCTCCGCCAGCACTCCGCATCGGCGGTCAGGAACCGGTCCAGCAGCAGCGCGTGCATCCCGAGGCTCCGCGCGGGGGCGTAGTCCTTGCGCAGGCTGTCGCCGATGTGGAGCGCCTCCCCGGGCGCCACGCTTCCGCTCCCGGCCCCGCCGGCCGCCTGCTGCAGCGCAGCCTCGTAGATCCTCGGGTCGGGCTTCTCCACGCCGACGACGCCCGAGAACACCCCGAAGTCCCACTCCGACCCCATGGGTTCATTTGGATTGCAAAGACGCGGTCATTGTCAGTGCTCGTCGTCGGCGCGACCGTGCAAGGATGGATGGATCAATGGCGGCAGTGCTGGAGGGAGGCTGGCCTGGTTGAGCCCCAGTGCCGGCAGGACGACGTCCCTGTACCGGTGCTCGGCGTTGCTGACGATACCGACGACGAGGCCCTCCTTCCGCAGCCACCTGAGGAAGCGCTGCGCGTCCGGGAACACCACGTACGGCGCGGCGGAGCCGAACGTGGAGTAGATCCGCCGGAACATCCTCTCGAACGTCTCGTCGTCTAATCGTAGCCGGCCTGCCATGCCACGACACCCCCGCACGCCAAAGAGCGAGCTGTTAGTTAGACCTCCACCAAATTGATCAGCGTCCTCATTGGAGGCGTCTAACCACTGCATGGTTAATGAGCCCCCGTCGCACAGCACTATAAAGAAAGGTGGGGTCAGAGCTCTATCTACGAGATTAACCTGAGCCGCCGTAACTCACCTACTGTGAAACGCTAACCGATCAAGAGACGGTGCTGCCAGCGACGGAAAGCCGCCACCGACCTCAGTGTCGCCTCTGCATCACCACTACGCTGGACTCCACCGCACCGAGCTGCACCACACCGGCGTCCACGTCGCTGCAGCGCCATGGACCCAACTACGCTAGGGCGAAGTACAGGAATAAGTTTCTCCATCTAAGTAAGAGCAGTTTATCCCCTGATCTACGTTTTAGAGGTACTGTGATGCTTTCAATGGTACCAGAGCCAGGTTTTTCTAGTGAGTAGATCTAGATCGGAGTAGTACCAGTTTAGAACAGATGAGAGAGATCCAATTCGGATCGAAACAGAGGGATCCTAACCCAAAGCCTAGAAGGGGAAGAACAACAGAAGAAAGAGAACCCGATTCGGATCGACCCAGACCGAACCCTAACCCTAGAAAACCAAGGACGAAAAGGGGAGGACCTACCAGGGCTTCTCCACCGCCATCGCACCGCCGCTGCGCGGAAAGAAAGTTCCGACGTCGCGCGGGTAGTCGAGCCGCCACTCGCCGACGAGACGCCGACGTGCGGGCTCAAAAGGCGGGGAAGATGAACAGTGGGTCCGGCCAAACTCGAACCCTAAAACCCTAACCCTAACTGTTTACACCAGAATTTGGAAGAAGGATTTCAAAGGCTCGAAAGCTTCCCAAAACCATGTCAACAAGGGATCAATTGCGTGTAGATCGAAAACAGCTGATTCGGATGCAGCACTAGAATCGGCTTTCTTCAGATAGCGTCAGCGGATAACGACAGAAGCTATGATCGGCGCTGGGACCAGACATGCTGGACTCTACAAAAAGGGAAAGATTAGAGTCTAAGTTATCTTAAATTAGAAATATTTTCATTTTTATGCCAAAGATTGTAACAAATCATGCTCGAGTAGGATTCATGTCTAGACTTCGGGTATAAATATCAAACCTCGGCTATTGTAAAAAACAACAATCAATCAAATACAAGTCAATTTACTTTTTTCGGCTCCGGCCACCCCTTAGGAGTAGGAGTAGAGTAGATCTCGACGAGTTCTTCAGCAAGTACGGCTGCATCGATCCGGTCGACCTCCACTGCTTGTTGTAAGTAACGTCATGGTTTATACCTCTGTTCGTATGGCTGCATCAATCCGGTCGACCCCCACTGCGGCTCTGGTATAAGCTAATTATCGACTCTTACCTAATTCAAATATGGCCTGTGTGATTCTGCCTCACACCCCACTGCTTGAATTAGATCAAGGTCAAATTATCGGCTCTACCTTAGTATGGCAGTCTTTGATAGATTCATTAAGTTACCGATATTGTTTATTGCTTTCATTGTTGATCTAATTACAGCAATATCACTCTGTCCGATTGAGATTGATCTGGATCGGGCTTATATCTTGTTTAACCCATCGTTTGCTAATTTAAAACTGATCTAATCTACACCATAAACGATGGATTATGTTTTTATCGGTTGTTTTGCATCAATCTTAATCGTGCATAGCGTGCGTTTAAGGCATGTTCGATCTTGAGTAGATCTATCGGTTAGCGAGAACCATTTCATGGCCTGTTATCACGGCCTGTGGGATTCTGTCTCTCACCCCACTGTTAGCACCGTGGAGCGGGGATCGTTAGTTGGTAGATCCGTTCTGGACAAGGCATGACCTTAACTGTGCGCTATGCCTAACTCGGCTATTTAGCCGATATTGAGTGTTTTCACGAGCAGTTCACATCACGAGACCATTAAAGTAGAGATAAGTCGAAAAATATGTTAGCCCCATGATCTTGTTATTATATTACGTCCTGCATGATTCTGCCTCATGCCCCACTGATATTAGTAATGAGTTAGTGTCGTTGAGTCTATTGTTGTTTCTATGGCCTGCATGATTCTGTCTCATGCCCCACTGGTCATGGCGATGGATAAGATCTAACATGTTCATTAGATTTATCTTTATTAGATGGTTAAGTGGTGTTGAATTATTTCTTTATATAAAAAGGGGTTCGGTTACTTGTAATCATTGGCTCAGTTTAAACCGATCACCATAGATATCTTATTGCCATTGATTAAATTTTGCTCGAATTTATATTTATCCTGGATGATAACCGATTCTTCTTACACAACCCCATAAGTTTTAACAGATTTATTCTTTTGAATATGCTGGAATCGACTATTTAGTCGATCTCCTCTCATATCGGCTCTCAGAGCCGCATATTCGAGACTGTCTGGCAACACCGGCATGTTCCGTCCTTAATTACTAATAAATTTTCTCTCCTTGTCAATTGCAGGGTCAAATTGACTGGCACGTCTCGGGAGGATTACGCAGGATCGACCACCCTTGCGCTGAAGCTAGGCGGATCTTCTCCATCGAGCGGACCCTTCCGGCTTGCTGCGTGTGTCCTCGGCACGGGACGAAATTCTGTGTCGACACACGTTTCTGGCACGCCCGGTGGGACACCACAATCGTCATGGCGGTTCACAACAACGACAACATCCTTATGGTGTATTATGAAGACCTATCTGATGAAGATAAGGGTACCATCAATAAAGCTATAGAAGAATTTCAGAATAAGTGTTTGTTGTCCTACACCAAAACACGTGACAGCACCATTATTCAGAAATTTTCACTACCAAGAGTTCTACTACACGGGCAGACAGATACAGTCGATGCTGAAGAAAGGCGTTTCTTTACAGAAGCCATAGACAAATCTGTTCGGAATGCTCTATCAAGCCGCAATGAAGCTTTCGTTGACGCATTTCACAACGCCATAAAAGAGGCGATTCACGGAATTCCAGTTAGTCAGGTTGGATCGATTTGTTACAACATTCCAGATCCGTTGACCCAAGGGACTAATCAAGTCGGCACTAGCCATCAAGAAGCAGCACCAGCTGGTAATGGTGACGTCCAGGCACTTCAAGGTTCATCTGAACAAACTCCAGGTACTACAACGAATCAGATACAATACAATCCTGGACCGTCGATACAGCATGTGCAACAGCCAGCGGGGCAAAGTCAAAACCAGATGATCAATTTTGGCACATCAGGCCATATACCGTCGTCGGATCAGAAGATAGCACCATCAATTCAAAGAATTCGTAGAGATATAGATCCTTATGTCTATAATCAGAGACTTTAAGCAGCAAGCCAGCAGAAGACCCAGCAGATTGAGATTCCACAAGGGTATCACTATGGCACGAATTATAGCACCCTCCACATGATACCAAATCCAGGATATCAAGGCACGCGGGATTTCAATCCACAGAGCAAGTGTCGAGAAATCCAAATCAGCAAGCTGACGAGTTGCTGCTGAAGGTGACCGAGATGATGAAGAATCAGTTCGGTCTAAAGCCAAAAGGAATGACTTTTTCGTACAAACGTCCGTATCTAGAATGGTTTGATTTGATCGCTCTTCCTACAAATTACAGGCTCCTAGAGTTCGCCAAGTTCACTTGTCAAGACAGTACAAGCACAATAGAATATATCAGTCGGTATCTTACACAATTGGGCGAAGCATCAGTTGAGGATGCTCAACGAGTTCGTTTCTTCTCCTTATCCCTGTCAGGGCCAGCCTTCACTTGGTTCTCGTCACTATCAGTCAACTCCATTGCCAATTGGGCTAACCTAGAGAAGAAGTTTCATACATATTTCTACACTGGGACTGGAGAAAAGAAGATAACCGATTTGACAACCATGAGACAGAGGACTAACGAATCAGGCTCTGAGTTTCTTTAGAGATTCCGAGAGACTAGGAACTTATGCTTCTCATTGAGCTTGGCAGATGATCAGTTAGCTGCTTTAGCCATCCAGGGAATGCTGCCAATGTGGAAAGAAAAGTTGTTAGGACAAGAATTTGACAACTTGGGTCAATTGGCTCAAAGAGTAGCAGCGCTCAATAGCCAATTCTAGAACATGCGCAGAGATACCCGATTCTAGAAGAGTACCACCGTAGCCGAAGCTTATGATCCATACTCAGTCGATGACGGCTATGAGGACGAAGAAGATAAGGTTGCTGTAGCTGAAAGGAATTGGGGCAAGACAGTGATGGTACCAAATCCTTGGGGAAGAGAAGTCGAGAAAAGCTATGACTTTGATGTCACAAAATCGGACAAGCTCTTTGACTTCTTACTTGAAAAGGGCCAGATCAAATTGCCAGACAATCATGTTATGTTGCCCCCTGACCAGTTGAAGAATAAGAAGTTCTGCAAATTCCATAATGCTACTTCTCATTCCACCAATGAATGCAGAATTTTCCGACAACACATACAGAGAGCTATTCAGCAAGGGAGGCTCAAGTTCGATACGCCTCGGAAGATGAAAGTTGATGATAATCATTTCCCAGGAGATCAAAATATGGTTGATGTCGGGCTGTTCAAAGGAAAAACTAAGGTTCTAACATCGGCCAAATCAAGAGAAGCTGGAACAGTTGATTCCAAGATGCAAATATCGGCTGATGAGTACAGAGAGATTAGAAAACGTCGTGATCAGCAAAAGAGCCGATATAAACAGAGGGAAGCGTCAAAGGATGGAGCGACAAAGCCACGAGTTACATCTCGAATCTTGTTGAATAAGTGGCAGCGGCAGAAGAAAAGGGATTATCAGCAATGGTTAGAGGATCAAGAATACCAGCGTCAACTAGAAGAAGAAAGGTATAAAAAGAAACAAGCCGAATCGCATTGGAATTGTCCTTTCTTCAGATACTGCTGGAACGAAGGTTTGAAATTGTCTACCAGACACAACTGTCCAGAATGCAGCAATCAATATTGGGAGTTTAGGCAATCTCAAATTAACCGTCGGTCTATCTATGCCCAGGATGCA